ATATTCTTTTTTGACTAAGCTTTCCCCACCTCCCACAAAATCTGGGAGATCAGCAAATCAGGCAGGAGGTTTTTTCTGGGGGTATTGACAAAGGATATTTCTATTGGTTATTGGTTAAGTAAATTACAGTGCATATACAGACAGGACTATAACACAGCCATCTACATCATCATGCTGATATGAATTTATAGACTGATACATGAAATCGTAATATACTAAGAGAATCCAAATAATTCCATCTTTTTAAAAATGGAATTATATACTCCAAAACATTAACAGTGGTCATCGCCAGGGGTTATGGGTAATGATTTTTCTTTTTCTTTGTATTTTCTAATTTTTTTCAATAACCATACATTACTTATACTAATTTAAAAAGCTTATTTATTTTTTAAAGAAATGTTCCTAAATCATCAGCATGCTATGATGATTATTCAAAAATAGAGGTCTTCAGGTTTTTCCCATACAAACATAAAAAGGGAGAATTCCTTCCATGGAAAAATAGAGAATGAAAACCAACTGACCCTCTCCACTCTCCCATTTCCCTGACCCTCACATTTGGCATTTTCTTGGATCAAGGGCTCTGTCTAAAGATGGAGGACCTGCCAGGTACCCACAGGAGGTCCAGGGACCCGACAGGTGGAGGGGAGTCTGGCTTACCTGGAACACACAGGCCTCTCCTTGAACCTGGAGCTGCCCTGTGAGCAGGTAGGTGGTGAACCCTGTGAGGATGGGGAGTAACACCAGGCAGCAGGTGACAGCCCAGCGCACGCGACGTCTTCTGGCCTCCAGCCCGGCTCTGGCCCTAAGCCTGCAGCTGCCGTCCTCAGGCAGCATTTCCACACTGGTTGTCTCCCCAAAGCCCAACTCCTCTGCCATGCTCCTGCTGGCCCTGCAGGCACCTCTGACTCCTGGGCAGAGAGACCCCCCCATTAAATAGAAGCCCAGTTTCAGACTGGGAGTGAATTAATCACTCTGCCTACTCCACCCCTTCCCCTCTCCCCCTCCACAACAAGCTGTGGCCCTGCCCTGCAAGGGAATGCACCGCCTACAACAGAAACCAAGTTTAGTTTAAGGAGGAAAAAAAAGAAGAAGAAGAAGAAGAAAAGCTTTCTCAAGCTTATTTATATACAGTGTGTTCACGAGCTCTTTCCTTCGTTTACAGAAGGAAGTTAGGAAAGTCCCCAGAGGAGCAGATAAAGAATTCATCAAATCAGTGGGCTGGGCCAATTGAATTGTACCTGTTTCTTGTGCTGGAGTCCAGACAGCTGGGCCCATCTGGGAGTGAGCTGCTTCTGGAAGTGAAAGTAAGGGATGGGGAGGTGTGTGGTTTGCAGCCTGGGAAATGGGAATCAGGTTTGCTCAGTACTTTGCACAGTGTTGCTGGACTCCAGGTCTTTTAGAACCTCACAGAAATGCATTCCCATTTCACAGATGGGAGTACTGAAGTGCTGAATGGTAAAGAGACTGGCCCTAGATTATCCAGAAATTAAGGCAGAAGAGCTAGAAATATGACCTTGTTCTTCAAAATCCTGCTTTGGGGTTCTTGCCTCTACCATACTACTATGAAAAGAAAGTATATTTCCAGCCTGTGTTGAGTAGTTGTCTAAGCAGAGAGTGTGAGGAGGGCATAGAGGTGACTGTGAATGGAAGACATTGACTCCTACTCCCTTATTAGTTCAAAGTTAATTGCACACCATGATACATCCTGCCCACAGTTGGATGTGGTATGGGGCCACAGCGTATAATGAAGGTTAACATTTATTAAGCACTACTTTGTGCCAAGGAGCTCTGGTGGGACAGGCATTTATTTGGCTGCTAACCAAAAGGTAGGTGGTTTGAACCCACCAGCCGCTCCACAGGAGACTTCTGTAAAGGTTTACAGCCTTGGAAACCCTATGGGGTTGTTCTACTCTATCCTGTGAAGTCACAGTGAGTTGACTCATATTTCGACTGTGTTGGATTTGACTCAAAGACAGTAGGTTTTACTTTGTGCAAGTTGCTGTTCTGAGTTAAATGTATTAATGAAATCATTCAATCCTCATAATAACTTTATCATTTAGTAATGTTATCATTCCCATTTTATAGATAAGGAAACTGAAGCATAGAGAGTAAGTGTAAACCAGTAAGTGTGAACTCAGGCAGGCTGGATGCTGGAGGCACAATTCTTAAGTGCTTGCCAGCTAACGGAAAAGTTGATGGCTTTGTAGGAGAAAGATTTGATAATCTATTTCCGTAAAGATTACAGCCAAGAAAACCCTAAGGGGTGGTTCTAATCTGTCACATGGGGTCTGTGATAATTAAGGTTGTGTGTCAACTTGGCTGGGCCTGGCTGAGTGGCTGAGCAGCTGGTGGTAGTTATTCCCTACAATGAGACTGGCAATCAACTTCATGGTAGAATCTACTGTGAGCAGCTGAGTAGCTGCTTTAGGGGTGTAGTCCACTTCCCATATATAAGAAGCAGCTTTGGGAATGGTCTCTAGCTTATGGTACACTTGAATCCTGTGTGTAGTCATGTCGTTGTTCAGGAGCCCGCCATGCTGTGCCTACTTTGGGACTTTCAGTGGACTTGAATCGATGGCCTGCCATGTTATTTGCTAATATGAGGACTGTGCCTTTTTACTTGTCAACCTTTGGCTTGTCAGTCTCAGCAGCCAGCAGCTGTGTGAGTGAAGAAAAGCCTCCAGCTTCAGTGGGCTAGGAGCAGGAGGCAGAGCTGAAGCCCAAGGTTGAGGGGCTTTTACACAGCCCCTAGAGCCTGACACTTTGAACTCAGACTTAAAGCCTCCAAACTGTAAGAGAATAAACTCCTGTTTGTTCAAGCCATCCCATTGATGGTATATTTTTGCCAGAGTGGCACTAGGTAACCAGCACAGGGTCACTATAAGTTGTAATCATTCCATGGCACCCAACTACAACAACAACAGCCACAGGCTGGCTTCAGAGCCCTCTTAACCATTACACTTCACTGTGTGTGCTACTCTATTGCATAGGATGAGTTACTGCACTAGAGTCCTGCTATGTGCAAGATAGTGTTCTAGGTCCTGGGGGTAAAGTGGTGAAGAGGACAGACAACAATCCCTGCATTCATGAAGCTTATGTCCTAGAGTCAGTAAATAAATAAGTTCAATTTATATCAGATCAAGTGGTCATAAGTGCTTCAGAAGAAAGAGAAAAAAAAAAAAAAAAAAACCAGGAAAAGGAGATAGGGAATTGTTTTAGTTGTGTTTGATAATAAAATGGTCAGAAAAGACCTCACTGAGAGGAGATAGTTGAGTAATGACCAGAAGGAGGTGAGAGGAGAGCTGTGTGGGTGTCTGGTAGAAGAGTGTTTGCAGCAGAGATTTGTATGGTGTGTTCCAAGAACATTGACGTGGCCCAGGCAGCTGGAACTGTGAGTGAGGAGAGAGTGGGGGCGATGGGGTCTGGGTGGCCCTGGGGGAGGCTGACCAGGTAGGGTCTCTTAGGCAAGAAGGAGGTTATGGCTTCTCCTTGAATGAGGTGGGGAGACTTGAGAAGGTTTAGGACAGAGGGATGGCTGGTCCTGACTTCACTTTAAAAGGATCATCCTAGCGCTGTGTTGAGAATAGCCTCAAAGGAGGAGAATGGCATCAGGAAGACCAGCTTGGAAGCTACTGCAATAATCCAGGCAAGGAACTATGGTGGGAGCACCAAGGACACAAGTAATTGTGAATTCTGAGTGAATTTTGCAGGCGAGCAGATGAAATTTCTTACTGAGCTAGATGTGAGGAGAGAGAGAAAGAAAAGAGGAAAGGCTGAGTCCCAAGTGTTTGTCTAGAACAATGGAAGGATGAAGATGTCTTTAATGGAGATGAGAAGACTATGGAAGGAAGCTTGTGAGCCCAGGCTGAGACAGCACCTTTTAAGATGATTTTTAGATATCAAGTGTTGATGAGGAGTAAGTAGTTGGATGGTGAGTCTGGGGTCCTGGAGAGAGTCTTGGGTAGAGATATTAACCTTGGCCCCCTCCCATAATGCAGCTCCAAAGTGGGGGCTCCTCTTGTGGTTCTCCAAAGTCCTTGGGGCCAAGTTTTAGAAAAGTATTAAGTTGAACCATATGAAATTGTGAGTATCTGACCATTTTTGACTTACAATAACAGCGATTTCATGTGGTGTACCCTAATAGTCTACTCTATATGCCTTACATTACACAACACTTGGGGTGGGGTCTGGAATAGCATCCCATAATCCAACACAGAAATATTTCTGCAGCCCCACACATATCCAATCTTAGGACTACAAACAGACCCATGTACTTTCAAGTCAGCTTTTGCTGATAAATGGATTATAAAAACGTTCAGTTTTTAGAGCTGTTTGGATTTTGGATTGTGGGCTTGTATTATCACCATTGTTGTTATTATTGTTACCATTTTCTATGGTTTCATGGGGCTGAACTAGGCCAATAAGTGGAAGTTACAGAGAGAAAAATTTCAGTCCAATCTTAAGACAAAGTTAACACTATTCAAAGATAAATCCTACTGCTTCCAGAAGTGGGAGCTCTCCATCTCCAGGGTAAATACAGGATCTGAACAACCACTCACTGGTGATATTTTAGAGGAAATTCCGTTGCTGGAGAGGTGATTGACATTGATGTCTATTGTGGTTAAGTTTGTGTGTCAACTTGGCTGGGTCCGGTTGAGTGGCTGGGCAGCTGAATGTAGTTATTCCCCATGGTGAGATTGGTAATTAACTCCATGATGGGATCTACTACAAGCAGCTGAGTAGCTGTTTTGGGTATGTGGTCTGCTTCCTGTATATAAGAAAAGGCTTGGGGAATGGTCTCTAGCTCATGACACATTTGTACCCTGCATGTAGCCGTGTTATTGTTTAGCAGCCTGCCATGCTCTGCCGACCTTGGGACTTTCAATGGACTTGAATTAATGGCCTGTCATGTGGTTTGGTTAAAAGACTGTGCCATTTTACTTGTCAACCTTGGGCTTGTCAGTCTCAGTGGCCAGCAGCTGTCTGAGTGAAGAAAACCCTCTAGTTTCAGTGGGCCGGGAGCAGGAGGCAGAGCTGAAACCCAAGTTTGAGGGACTTTCACACAGCCCCTAGAACCTGGCACTTTGAACTTGGACTTAAAGCCTCCAAACTGTAAGAGAATAAACTCCTGTTTGTTAAAGCCGTCCCATTTATAGTATATTCTTGTCAGAGTGGTACTAGGTAACCAGAACACTGTCTTTTATAGGTGTCAGTCTCACTGGGATTGAAGACCCAGTCATTTCAGGCCTCATTCTCTCCATCTATAAAGTGAGGCCAGGGAGTTGAACTTCGTGATCACAGAGGATGCTTCTGACATTCATGTTTCATAAATGTCATGAATCTTGTGCTCCCTTTGCCTCTGCTTCTCCCCTCCACCACCACCCATTTCTGCACATCCTTGCTTATAGCCTTGTCTGCTGAGTCATTCTTTTTCCGGATTGTGCCATACCAATTTCCTTTGATGTGCAATGATGGATAAGCATGGGAAGCTGGGATGGTTCCATTGACCTTTCCCTGCTTCTTCCTAATTTTGGGAAAATAAGTTTTCCGTAATTATTTCTTGACATTCAAGTATGTTTTGACTTAAGCAATAGCCACAGCCTTTCTGCAAGAGTGTGAATTCAGGGCATAGGTTGGCCTTCCTGGAATGCCTTTAATGGCTGCAGGACCTCCACTCTCTGCTGTTCTTGGGAAACGAACCATTCCCTGGAAGGGACTTTTTTCAATGGCTGACACACAGCCTTCTAGGTGACATTGTAAAAAATGCAGCCATCTTAAATTAAACCCTTTCTAAAATACAGTTTAGAGCTTTAAAATCGTTTATTTCATATGATTTTTTTTTAAAAAAAGACTAGGAAACTGAAAAAATGAAAAAT